ACATCTGTTCCTGCTAAACACAGCTTTTCTTTGAAGACAATCTCAGAATTCAAAAGAGCACTGGCAGGGCTGGGGCTGGGGAGATGGTGGCCATAGGCCATCTTAGGGCACCTACCTTCTCCATGCCCTCCTACCTGTCTCTGGCCTTGGTGGTCCCCACCTTCTTGGAAACAGAGATATGGAAAGACGGAGGCTCCCACCACAGAGCCTCAATATTTGGAAAGGAAGGACTCTGTCTATCTCTAGCCACCTCCCCAGCCTCCATCCAGCCCAGGTGGGCAGGTGCGTGTTCAGTGTTGGTGAACTTCAGTGCAAAAGCACCATGTGTGGCCCGGCTGAGTGGCTCAGTTGGTTAGGAGCTCACTCAAGAGTGTGAGCTCTGAGCAACAGCGATTCGAGTCCTGGCCTGAGCTGAGCAGCTGCTGAGCTGCCAACAGGTGGCAGGATGGCTCAGCTAGAAAGAGAAAAAACAACAACAAAAAACAAAACAAAAAGTACCATGTGTAAGGAGAGGGTGGATTTGTGCTCTTGTTTAATTTTTTCAAAGCCCAAATTTCACGTGGGGGGAAAAGGTTTCTCTAAAATCCCTGGAAACTGCTGCGGTGGTGAAATCCTGGTGCTTAAAGCTTTTAAGGCAGATCTTGGGCGACGCTTTTGGTTCTAAGGTGGTTCTGGGTCACTCCTGTAAAATGGGAATAAGGACGCCTTTTTCGGCGAAGCCCACCCTGTACTGTCATCTCTTGCGGGGTCCGTTTTCCTGGCGATGCGATACGTGTCCCTTGAGGTTAGGGGCTGAGTCTGCCAGGCTCACGCCCAAAGCCGGGCACAGGGCCACGCGCAACGTTTGAGGAAATAAACAAACGGGAAGTCGAGGAGGGTAGGACGGGAGACGAGGCCGTGCAGCGTGCGACCCCCAGCGGACACTGGAAGGCAAACCTCCGCTGCGTTTCCGCCTCCAGGAAGGTTCGCCTCCCGACCTCCCGCGGCTCTTGCCTTCCTTCCCAGGATGCTCCGCGCCAACTGCGTCCTGTGGTTGGCGGCGCGTCCCCCACGTGACGCCGAACTGGCGGCGGCGGTTGCCCGGGCGACGGCTGGAGAGGTGGCGGCCCCGCCAGGGAGGCGCGGATCAGCGCGGCGGAGCGGCAGGTAAGCACGTCTGCGGATGCGGCCTGGCCACCCCAGAGCCCGCAGTTCCCGGGCGGGAGCAGCCGCGGTGGGGCCCGAGGGCTTTGGCTTTGCTGAGCCCTCGCTCCAGAGGAAAACCCCGACGCGCCACCTTGGCAGCCGCTGCAGGATGTCCCCGCTTCTCGCCTACAGTCCAGGGCTCTTACTGCGGCGTGGCCCGGAAGCGGCCGCCGGGACATGCCGAGGACAGGTCCAGCTTCTTCTCTCAAGAAGTCCCTGTGTTTGCTGCAACAGGCCACCCTTGGAGGGGGCCCCAAGTCCTCCAGCTGGGTAACGGTGGCGTGAACCGGAGGCCTGGGACTTTTAGATCCATCCCTTCCGTTACCTCCATCAGCTAAACCCCCCTTTCCAAAGCACCCCAGTTAGGTCCAGATTTCATCCAATCTAAGCAAAAACAGGATGCTTGCTATGCAAATTTTGCTTCCAGACACATCCCATAGTCATAGTCTTATCCTTAGTCAAAAACCATTACGTAGAAATTCAGAAGCTGCACCCGCAGCCCTCAAAAGTGATGGAAGAAGTTTTCTCTAGTTTCTGCAAAAAGGAGAGCAGTGGTTCCCCAACTTGAATGTGCATAAAAGTCATCCGGACAGCTTGGGTAAAACAATTTCTGGGCATCGTCCCTGCTCCTGTGTTCAGTAAGATCAGGGTGGTGCTAGGACTTAACCATTTGCACAACATCTGATTCAGGTGGTCCAAACTTTGGGTAATACTGTGTAGTGATCAGCGTCGGTCTGGATTTAAATTCCCACTTTGTCACCTACTACCTGGGTTATTGGGAGCACCTCAACCCCCCTGAGCCTCAGTTGCCTCATCTAGATGTCAAAGGAGAGTATACGTCATATTCATCTCTTAGGTTTATTGTGAAATTTTAATGTGGAACATTTTACTCATTGCATGCCATACATTAAGCCCTCAACAAATGAACCTATTAAGATATAAAGGGTTAGAGAAAATTCTGTAATTTCTAAGAATGGCAGGGTAATGGAATATCCAACATTGGCTTACGTTCACTGACAGACAAATGATCAGAGCAGAATCTTATTCAAATGATGCTATGAAGAGCTTCTCTGATGTTTATTAAGTACAGGGGTTTGCCAGGTGAAGAGAGAGGAGAGCGGTGTTACAGGCAGAGAGAACAATATGTGCAAAGGCCCTGAGGTTGGAAAGAGCTTGAGCTCTCAAAAACAACAAAGTTTTCTTGTTCCAGGGCCTTCAAAAATGCTCCCTGTGCTTGGGCTTCCTTATTCACCAGACGTTTTGGGTGACCTTGTGCCTACCAGGCAGTCTGCTAGGTTCTGGAGATACACAATTTGGATATAGCTTCCTGCCTTTGTAAACAGGATAATAAGTATAGCAGTAGACATAGATATAGGGTACAGAGGTACCCCAGAGGAGAGAGAATTGCCTTGATGGAGACGACAGGGGAGGGGTTCATGGAAGACTTCCTAACGGAGGTTAAGTCTGGACGGAGTTAGTATGATGAGTCAAGTTTCCCCATGAGGTGGGGTGAGTACATCAAACACAGGGCTTAGAAAGAGCGTGTTGTATGGGGGAATGGCCGGGAATTCACTGTTGGTGGGGCCCAACCTGGGCAGTGGTAGGGAGAGAGACGGGTTGGTGGTTGGCCCAGAGAAAGGCTGGAGAGGTGGGTGGTCCTCCAACAGTAGCTGTCTCTCCTGGTACCTCATGTATCTGGCGGGCCTGGAGGTGGTGGGTGGGCTAGGTGTCCTCACTGCGGCTGCCAGGTCACTGCCCTCTCCTTTGAAGTACATGCCATGGGCTCCACCACTCACCATCCCTCCTTGAGGCAGTCGCCTCTCTGGTACAGTGTTTCCCTTGAAGATTGTAGCTCCCGACTCACTGTTAACCTTTCCACCTCCTCAACTTCGGTTTTGGTGTCAACATCCTGACTGCGAAAGTTTCTTCATCCTCCTCACGTATAGGCAACTTTCCCTCCATCCTCCTCACCAACCCACTTCTGTGATAATGAACTTTTTGTTAACTGACCACCTCCAAAATTTCATTTCAAGCACCCATCTCCCTCTCCAACCACCACCTGCTATCTTCCAAGTTCACTTTAATGTGCCCCTGAAGCAGGTCTTTTTTTTTTTTTAAGATTTTATTGAGGAATTGGGAAGGGAATAATGTTGGGGAATTGGGGAAGGGAACATTGTAGTTTTCCAGGACCCATCAGCTCCAAGTCAAGTTGTTGTCCTTCAATCTTAGTTGTTTTTTTGAGGGCACAGCTCAGCTCCAAGTCCAGTCGCTGCTTTCAATCTGTTGGGTTGTCGGAAAAGTCATGACACATTTTTTCTATGTTTTTCGTTGAAAAATGCATCATGACTTTTGCGACAACCCAATAGTTGCGGGGGGTGCAGCCCACCATCCCATACTGGAGTCCAACCCAGCAACCTTGTTGTTAGGAGCACGTGCTCTCACCAGCTGAGCCATCCGGCCCCCGTTGGCAGCTCAGCAGCAGCTCAGCTCGGGCGCAGCTCACTGTCTCGTGGGAATTGAACCGGCGACCCTGTTGCTCAGAGCTCGTGCTCTAACCAACTGAGCCATCCAGCCGGCCCCGAAGCAGGTCTTTTTAAACAAAAAAAATTTTTATGAATCTTTATTAAATTTATTGGGGTGATATTGATTTGACCCCATTACTTCTTCACTGGCTTACAACTTGTGCACCTCCCTCCTTAACATCGCTCCGCTTCAGTGCTCCATCACCTGCTTTCTCTTTCCCCTCTTCTCAAAAATCTCACCCTGATTAACCTAACTCAGGTGCTAAAAGTGGCTGGAGAAAACTGCAAAATCGGGCCCGCTTTGTGAATGTTTACTATTTTTACTTGGGGGAAGGGGAATTAGCGTTCATTTACATAGATTAATTCCAATGTGTATCCTTCCTTAGAGTAAATGAATTGACCTTATTAAACTCTATTCTGTTCTGAAGCACTTTGAGGTCTTGACTATTAGAGTTACACCTACCACGTTATAGCACATTAGAAACTCTAAATAAGAAAAAGCATCTTCCATAGTCTCACCAGCAATCCTTGACGTCCATGTGCACCACCCTCCAGTCCTTGCACATTCATGGTAAATGTAGAAAGAATTATTAATTATCTGGAAGAATTATTTTTGACTTGAGCCACCCGATTTTCTAGTGCTGCCATGATGAAGTACCACAAACTTAATGTCTTGGTTTATTCTCACGGTTCTGGAGGTCAGAAGTCAGAAATGGGTCTCAGACTGGGCCAACATCAAAGTGTTTGTAGGGCTCGCCCCTTTCCGGGTGCTCCAGATGAGAATCTCGTTCTTGCCTCGCCCAGCTTCTAGGAGCCGCCTGCGTTCTTCGGCTCCTGGCTCTTCCTCCATCTTCAGAGCCAGCAATGGCTGGTTGAGTCTTTCTCACTCTGCATCTCCCTGATACCCTCCTGCTTCTCTCCTTCTCTTGTGGGGACGCCTGTGCTTACATTGGACCCATTGAATAATCCAGGCTCCTCGCCCTATTTTAAGGTCATGATTCGCAACCTCAGTTCCACCTGCAGCCTTCATTCCCCCTTGCCATTCAACCCAACATACTCGTAGGTCTGGGGATTGAGGACGCAGACATTTTTGGGGGCCGTTATTCTGCCCACCACAGACACCTTTTTTGTGATGTCACAGATGGTTGAGATGAAAGCTTTTATTTTATGTTTTTGCCTTGTACAGATTTTGGCTGAGAACTAACAGTAACCTTTCAATATGGGGGATATTCTGGCTCATGAATCCGAACTACTTGGACTCGTGCAAGAGGTAGGTGTATTACAGCACAGGTCACAAAAAAGAGACCTTGGAAACTCGGAAAGCTTGTATTTTCAGTGCAACAAATTTTATAGTGCCTTGAAATGGTTCTTCTATAATTACATCATCGTTACCTATATTCCATTATATAATTTTTATATTTTGTTTTCATAACTAAACTGAAATCTTAAAGCCACTTTTAAGAATGCTTTTAAAGAAAATAGTAAAAGCAACACATGCTTATGGGAAAGGATTCAAATATTGGGTTGTCGGAAAAGTCATGACTCATTTTTGCAATGAAAAACATAGAAAAAATATGTCATGACTTTTCCGACAACCCAATAGTATAGAAGTATAAACAGTGAATTTCCCTGCTCTACTCCTGCAGTGACCACTGCTAATGGTTTAGAGCAGGGGTTAGCAAACTTTTAAGATGGAAGAGCCAATCCTGTCCCTCACAACAATTTAAAAATTATTCAAGAGCCATAAAACAAATGAAATCACCATTATGTGAATAATAGCCTTTAAAAATTTTATAAATGAAACTATGA